GCTGACCTCGCCCGACGGGCCCGCCGCGAGCGGCCTCTGCGAGCGGCCAGGAAGCCGCGGGCGTGGTGCTGCAGACAGGCGGCCCGGGGCTGGCCGCGGCCTCCACGGGCGCACGGCCTGCATTCGCCGCGTCTCAGGAAGCAAGACTCGAGCCCATGTGCAGCCGACCTCACCTTCAAAAAGCGCCGCGGTGTCACAGAGGCGCACACTCACAGAGCCCCGGGTTAAGGGCTTTACACGCTAAAGTCAAGCGCCCTCAGCTCTGAGGATCAACCTTATCATCAACTTCACGAGGTGAAGAGGCTGAGACTCACCGGCCCAGCAAACGCTTCAGAATCACCTGCTTCCAAGCGGCAGGACGCAGCCGGGCTCACACCCACGGCTACGTGCTCGGAAGCCCAGGCTCCGACTACACCACCAAGTTACCTTCTGTCAAATGTTTACACGTTTGATGGGAACTGAAGAGGTGTATGCTGATGTCAGGCAGGAACCATCACAACGCAGTAAAGCAATTATCCTCCACTTAAAACAAGTTTTTAAAAACAGATAACTAATGAGAACCTATTGGATAACACAGAGAACTTTACTTAAATGGGAAGGAAATCCAAAAAAGAGGGAATATATGTATATGTATACACACACACACACACACACACATATAGCTGATTCACTTTGCCGTACAGTAGAAACACAACGTTGTAAAGCAACTACACTTTTAAAATTTTAAAATAAATGAATAAAAACCACCTTTTAAAGAGTTCTCAAGCAGCGCTGGTCCTTGATCACCCCAGTGACACATGCAAATGTTATCAGTGCTCACGGGTGCCACGATATGAACACGGTTAGGAAGCACTTGCATTTCCACCCCATTAACATGACCATGGATTTGGTTTCCTCATCCTGAACCCTGACCACAGGGCAGAGTCACCCCCGGAGGCACTTTCAAAAACTGACGTCCCAGCCCCACTCCAGCCAGTTACACTGGAGTCTGTGGGGATGGGCTCCTCCGAGCATCAAGGCGACTTTCACATTCAGCCAGGATTGAAGACTGCTCTCAGGACAGTGCTCAGCAGAAGCAGGAAAAGGAATTAAGTGGTATCTAAAAGTTGTGCTTTTCCACAAAGCAGATTGCTAGTTATAAAGGAGTTCTATCATAGTAATCTAAATGAACTGTACTAAAGAATTTCTACTCTTCAAGTTTTTAACCAAACTATAGACCTTGCTTCCAAATGTTACTCTTTCAGATCAACAGGGCCTTGATGCCGCGGTTGTTACCACTCAGGCTGTTTCGGTAGAACATGGTAACTGCCAGAGGAGTCTGAAGGAAGCGTTAGCCACCACTGCACGGCTTTGTTACGAGTTACAATGAAAGCACGTTTCAGACTCATATCTGCAGATACACTTATGAAACAAACACATCTTGGCCACGCAGGCAAAAACAGTTTGTCCACCAGTTTTATGAGCTCACTGAAGCCCCAGCTCCATGTCTTTAGGTCCAATATACGTGATGTGCAAGGCTCACTGAACACAGACACTGACCTTCACTGGCAGGGTGCTAGGCTCTATGGAAGGCCAGACACCCACCTGAACCCAGGGCTGGACACTGCACTGATCTGACCAAGCCCCAGGCACCATCCTGATGTTAGTTATACACCTCATACCTTCTTAATGCCTGTCCTTACATTGCGAGCAAGGAAGTCCTCTAAACTCTTGGCCAATCCACATGTTTAGAATATCCACAATTTCACCAACGAGATCCCATTTCTAACATTTATTATGCTAATATAGCAGTTACTTATTTTACCAATAAAACCCATTTTTGACATTGATGCTGCTAACTGTCAAAACTTCTGTTGTGGAGATCATGGAAGAATGTGAACTGGCCAGGAATGTGGAACGTTCACTGCAGCACCATTTACAGCAGCCGAGACATAGAAGCAACCTAAATGGCCACGGACAGAGGAATGGATAAAGAAGCTTGGTGCATATATACAAGGAAATATTGTTCTTGTTGTTTAGTCACTCAGCTGTGTCTAACTATTTTGCAATCCCATGCACTCTGGCCTGCCAAGCTCCTCTGTCCACGGGATTTCCCAGGCAAGGACACTGGTGTGGACTGCCATTTCCTTCTGGAGTGCAATATTACTCAGCCGTTAAAAAGAGTGAAATAATGCCATTTGCAACAGCAAGGATGGACCCAGAGATTGCCATAGTGAGTGAAGTAACAAAAAGAAGGAGAAATAGTATGATATTCTCTATATGCAGAATACAAAAAGAATAAAAAAGAACCTAAAAAGAAATGATACAAATGAACTTATTTACAAAACAGAAACAAACTCACAGACTTAGAGAATGCAGTTATGGTTGCCAGGGGCACAAGAATAGGAGGAAGAGATCGTGAGGGAGTTTGGAATGATGTGCACACACCGCTATATTTAAAGTGGACGACCAGCAGGGACCTGCTGTAGGGCACAGGGAACTCTGCTCGATGTTCCGTGGCAGCCTGGGCGGGAGGGGAGGGGGCTTGGGGAGAATGGATACATGCGTATGTATGGCCAAGTGTCTCTGCTGGTCACCTGAAGCTATCACAACATTGTTATCTGGTATTCTCCAAGGCAAAATAAAAAGTTTTTTTTTTTTCTTTTAATTGTTCTGTCTGGGAGTGTGGCCCTTTCTGAAATGATATTAACTGGCCAACCAGCAAGTGTTCTTGACAGCATGTTAGCTGACTAACCACCTCTAGAAGTAAAACCTTAAATGCAGGTACACATGTCACTCTGATTACCAGGTAATTTACAGCCATTCTAACACTGACATTGTGTGGCACAAGACCCTTTTAGCACTAAGTATATTTGACTTTATTATGTGTGTGAAAATATTTCTTGGTGGCAATGGAAAATAGTAGCCATGAGCATGTGAAGTTACTTGGTTTATTTGGAAGATGCTGACATTGACAGTGTTTCCAATGCATGGTCTATGACGGGATTCTTTCATAGCTTAGATGACAGATGGCCTCACGCCAACCACACTGGTCCTATTCCAGGCCCATTGCAGAACCAGGTGAGGGCCACACCAATGAAGCTCCCATGGATAAATGACAAAAGGTAAATGGCCTTTCTGAAATCAATTGATTATTAACATTTGAACTTGAGACTTACATCTGTAGCTACTCTGATTTAAGGAAGTTAGATTGACATTCTTATCAGTGTTGTCTTTGTGTGTATCTTTATAAAGGCTACTTATAGACACTTTAGTGTATTGCCACCTCAAGAACATTTCTATATTATTTTACATTATTTTCTTCTGAAAACAAATCTATATTTCCACCACGTCGCAAAAGCAGATTTTTTTTTTATTTTTCAGATTTTTTAAGCCAATATTTACTTAACAACCACTGTGGATAAAGCTACAAACAGATCCAAATGGATAACAAAACAAAACAAAACAAAAACCCTTGACAGACACTAAGCAAATGTCAGAGTTCCTATCAAACCAAAGAGGAAGGACCCAGGAAAAGAACAACCAATGGCTTTTTAGCAAGTCTTAACGTCAGAGTGTCTCTGCAGAAACTGCCATTGAATAACATCCCAAAATATTTTCAGACATGAAGTAAAAATAGAAACCAGAATTTAACTCTAAAACAGGCCATGATGTGGGCAAGAGTTGGACACAAGAGCATAGGAAAATGAAACTTGGTTTCTTTATTGTTGGTCATAAAATGGGCACAAATGTAGCCAGCACATTTTGGGGGGAAGAGCAAGACTTTTAAGGTCAATTCCAAGAGACATGATTCCTTTCCAGCATTAAACAATGGCAGGGTCATTTAGGGCAAACTAAAGCTTCCCGAGGCTTCATTATGACTCAAGAAGCCCAACTTCTTGAGGATGCAAGTTCAGGGTTTGGTGGTGAGCAGAGTCCTGAACTGCCAGCCCAATTTCTGGGTCTGCCATTGACCTTGTGTTACAAGAGCAAATCATTTCAATTTGCTGGGTTTTTATATGCACCCCCGGGGGCTGTTTAGATTTGTTCTCTACAGAGAGAGCTGTTCACTGAGGAAAGCAAGTCACCCTGGCAAAGAACAAAGGGTTCAAGGTGCAAGAGAAGCGCCCAGAACCATTACTGACTCAAAGTCCTTCCCAAGCGGCAACAGCCAGTGGTAGAATTAATATTTAAATGTCTGAGGTGTTTTGCTTTGTTTTTCATATCTCAAGGCACCACCGCCAGCTAAAGCCTTCAACAGCGCAGGGAAGCCGGAACACAGCAGAATATGCTCCCCTGGAGACTCACAGGCAAGTTACACTGGGATTCCAAACACAAACGCAGGGCAGAAGAGTTGGTATGTGCTGCTGGAGCCAGCAGGACGGGACCAGGGCGACAGAAGCCAGGGGAAGACTTTAAAGTGGCACACACACACACACACAAAAGACTGTCTTATAATCAAGATAAGTAAGATTTTATTGGGATATTTTTGAAATTCAAAATTAAGGCAAAAAAACTCGATGATGAAGAAGACATCCCGTTTTTACATGAATTTGAATTTTTTTAAAAAAAAGGCTGTACAGAACACATAGGTGTGTGAGTTAGTCGCTCAGTCGTGTCTGACTCTTTGCGACCCCATGGACTGTAGCCCACCGGGCTCCTTTGTCCATGGGATTCTCCAGGCAAGAATACTGGAGTGGGTCGCCATTTCCTTCTCCAGAATACATAGGAGCCAGTTGCAAAAAAGAACCAATAACACCAATCCAGTCTTTACTTAAGATGTTGATGTTTTGTTCATTACAGATGCCTCTGTGTCAACTTTGAGCTTTCTAAAGATATCATTAAAAATGCGGTTCATCTTGATCACTGGGACTTTTGGTGTGTCTTCCTCTTTCGCCATCGAGGATGGCGCTGAGCTCAGCCCTCTCCGAGTCCGGCCCGGGGGCCACCACCAGTTCCCAGAAAGGCTGGGCCAGGCGCCGGGCGGACGCGGCTGCCCCGGGCCGGGGCTGGGTGCCTACCTCGTTTGTTCTGCGTGCCGTGCTTCCTGGCCAGGCTGAGCTCCCTCTGGATGCGGCCTTCCAGGTACTCCTGCTTCTTGCCCAGCATCTCCTCCGTCTCCCGAAGTCGGGCCAGAGCTTCCTGGGCGCTGGGGGCCGCGCGGCTCTTGGAAGAGCCTCCGCCTTTGAAGAACTTGCCCAGCTTGCTCATCGTGGTGGGGGGCCGGGCAGTCGTCCGCGGGGCTCGCGGCTCGGGCTCCGGACGCGCCGGGAGCAGGTGAGCGTCTCCGCCCGGGTCTCGGCCAGGCCCGGGAGGCGGCGCCCCCGAGTCCACACGCCGTCGGGCGCAGGTGACTCCCTCTCCCGGGCATTTCCTGGCGGCCGGGCCCGCCCCGCTCGCGGGGAGGGGAGGGCACCGCAGGCGGACGCGGCCGGCGCCGCCTGGTCCCCGGGCATCGGGAGGAAAGAGAAGGAAGGAGCTGGAAAGGCCGCCGGGGCCACAGCCCGGGGCTGCTGCACCCACGCTGGGGACTCACCCGGGGCCAGTGACCGGTTTGATGCCGGCTCAGAGAAGCGCAGACCGCTGTCGGGGGTGTGTGCGGGGCCCGAAGTTCAGTTCAGTTCGGTTCAGTCGCTCAGTCGTGTCCAACTATTTGCGACCCCATGGACTGCAGCACGCCAGGCCTCCCTGTCCATCACCAGCTCCCAGAGTTTACCAAACTCATGTCCATTGAGTCGGTGAGGCCATCCAACCATCTCATCCTCTGTCGTCCCCTTCTCCTCCTGCCTTCAATCTTTCCCAGCTTCAGGGTCTTTTCTAATGAGTCAGTTCTTCACATCAGGTGGCCAAAGTATTGGAGTTTCCGCTTCAGCATCAGTCCTTCCAATGAACACCCAGGATTGATCTCCTTTCGGATGGACTGGTTGGATCTCCTTGCAGTCCAAGGGACTCTCAAGAGTCTTCTCCAACACCACAGTTCAAAAGCATCAATTCTGAAGGGCTCAGCTTTCTTTATGGTCCAACTCTCACATGCATACGTGACTACTGGAAAAACCATAGCCTTGACTAGATGGACCTTTGTTGGCAAAGTAATGTCTCTGCTTTTTAATATGCTGTCTAGGTTGGTCATAACTTTCCTTCCAAGGAGTAAGCGTCTTTTAATTTCATGGCTGCAGTCACCATCTGCAGTGATTTTGGAGCCCAGAAAAATAAAGTCAGCCACTGTTTCCACTGTTTCCCCTGAAAGCCGGTGTGTAATGCACATGCACCTTGCTGACCTGGGCTGGAAGGACAAGATGCTAGTGTTCCACACATGCGTTCTGTGTGTTTCTGTCTGTGATCACGTGTGAGCACAGGGTCAGGTCCGTGTCCTTGTGAAAGAGTGTTCAGGTAGGTTCGTCCCTGTGTGCGTGGTGTGGGCTAGGAGGGTGGGGGCACCGGCTTGCAGGGACACTTGTCTGCCTCTGTGATGCAGGTGTGATGGCAAGAGGCTTATTCTCAGAACACCTGGCCTGACTGGGCATGCCGCTGCAGGTGTAGACTCTGGGCAGGTTGATGTGTGCTGGCTGCCAGTGGGCATGGGTGGATTCTAGATCACCCTCACACGGTTTGAAGTGGTGAGAGGCAAGGACCATCTCTTTTCCTAACGTGGGGGCTTTGGAGTGTGTTCGGTGGCCGCATTCAATTCAGCGTCACTGTTAGTATCTCTCTCTCTTTAGTCACTCAGTCGTGTCCGACTCTTGCGACCCCATGGACTATAGCCTGCCAGGCTCCTCTGACCATGGAATTCTCCAGGCAAGAATACTAGAAAGGGTTGCTATTTCCTTCTCCAGCTGTTAATATATACAAAGCCTTTAATGGGGCGTCCTTGTGCTTGGATCTATGTCAGATGCCTTTGCAGAGACACCTCAGTAACAAAAGGGAAAGAATGTCCTAGAGAAAAGCAATATTCTTTTGTTCCTTTTCAATACCTCAGTCCCATCTATTAGAGCTGCAAACAAAGAATTTGGTAAGATGAAAGAACAGCAATAGGTAATGATTATGGATGATGCGATTCAACTGAAAATCTGTGCGGAGCATGCTACAAAGATGTGGAATATGGGACTGAGTCTATGTCCTAGTTTTCCAGGGCTATTCTGTCCTCCACATAATACAGCGCTATTAGAGCAACATTACCCACCGCCATCAGGACCTATTTGTGATTAGCTAACCACTGATTATTAAAGGAGGGGAAGCATCCATTACTATGACAGACACACCTTGGTACTCAAGACCAGTAACCCACTTTTGTCTGCCATCACACCCACCCAGAAGCATCAGTTTGATCCATTTTACCCAACATTGGTAGATCCAGCATTGCATTTTGACAAAGAAATTGGATATGTTTCTAAGAGGCTTACTGGTCCTATATCTTAGACACACAAACATGTGAACTTATAATTTCCCAATAACTACAGCCTGCCACCTCTTACCATTTTCTGCCTGGCCATCCAAAGCACTTATGAGCTGTAATATATCTAATCTTGTGTATATTACACTATAATAAGCATTATCTTTTGTTATTATCTAAATGTTTCATAAATCTGTTTTGGAACTTATTTTCTTGCTTAGATTTTAAGCCCCGTGAGAGTGGAGAAATAGCACATGTTCTGCTGGTCAGTTTAACCAAAGTTTACTGAGAGTATTCTACACATAAGGTACTGGGAATGCAAATATAGTCTGCCATCTGGGAGCTTACCTTATAGTAATAGCAGTAATGGGTGCCATATTTGAACACCTATCATATGGCAAGCACACCACATGTCTACTTAATAAGATGTAGATCAGCTGCACAAAACAGGTGCTGCCGCTTCTATGACAGATAAACAACCCGTTTCAGCTGGTGACTTGGACAAGGTCACATAGGTAGTGAGTGTAAAAGACGCTTTTGTCTGAAAGCTTCTGGTCTTTCTATGTTTACATGACCTTTCCCTCTGTGTGGTTTGGACCAGAGGAGAAACTCACAGAGCATTTATTTAATTAAATAACATGGGGAGTAAAGAGGGTGGTATGAGGCATCAACCTCCAGAGATCATACAAGCATTACTGAGTTCATAGAGAAGTATGTTTAAGTAAGAACCTCTCCACTATAGAAAAAACATTCCTTTCTGGCTCCCTAGACACTATATTTTTGTTGAGAGAACACTGAACAAGTGGAACAGAGGGATGGAAAGTTTTAATGAGCTGCTTAGTCATCCATCTATCCATATTTTCATTCAACAGCTATTTATGGAGCATCTCTGTTTCAGGCATTATGGTGGACAGTGAGGAGATGATTAAGAACAAGATGAAGGCATTTTACAAGTTAGGAGAGAAGACAGGAGGTAAGCAACTTATCCCACAAATAATAGACTTTATAAGTTAAAGTTTTATTAAGTGCTATGGAGAACTTGGAAGGACAGAGACCTGTCAGAACAAATTGTAGATAAAGTTGACTTTGTCTTGGGTGTCAAAAAAAAGTGACTTGAAAAAGTGACATTTAACCTGGAATTTGAATGATGAATAGAGGATAGCTTGGTATAGAGAAGGGAAACTGGTATTCCAAGATAAGGAATCATTCGTTCATTATTTTTTTCTGAGTGCATATGATATAGCCAGTACAGATCTAGACGCTGGAGATTCAGCAGTGAAGAAAGAGAAACTAAAATCCATGCATTTTTGAAGCCTACTTTCTAGTCAGGAAATGATGGACAATTAATGAAGAAAGCAATGTACTCTATGGAAAAAATAAAGCAGGTAGTGTTAGAGAATTAATGTTTCAGACAATGTGTGGAAAAACATTGAGTCTAAAGAAGACAGAAGAGCAGAGTGCTGTGAGGTTGTCTCTAAATGTCAGCTGAGTCCTGATCACATAGGGGCCACCTGATATTCTAAGGAGCTTGTTTTGTATCCAAAGAGCAAATGAAAATCAGTCAGAAATTAAAATAAAGGATGTAGTCGTTAATTTATAATTCAATGGAAGAATCTATTTTACTCGATTTAGTGTGTCAGACTTTCAAAAACACATGTGGTGTGCAAAGCAAGCTTCATTTGAATTAAAAATCATTCCCTTCCATTAATATGTAATCTCAATAGGGAAAAGATAACACTTGCAAGCAAGCAAGCCATCCAAATATATAGTAGTGTTTAATCCAGCAGTGGGATTTAGAGAATAAATGTTTAAATCAATGATGTAGAAGCTGAAAATAACACATTAATCTTCATTCAATACTCATCCTACAAATGTGGTTTCATAAAGAGTTCTCAGCATCTAGTATATTTTTCATTTTTTAATCTCAATTGATCTCAGCTAATAAGGAGGCTGTTGTTCAAAAGAATGATCTTGTTCAGAATGATTTACCATGGTTAAGATGGCAAAGGAAATTGGAAATTTATAGATCTGTTAAAAAGACTTAGATGTCAGGCTAATTGATACATTTTGGTCACCCCTTGAAATTACATCCATTTTTAGAATGCCAAATGAACTCTCCAAAGCAGCAGAAGAAGAATTATCCTTTAAACATACTGCAGAATCATCATCAAATAGTTATTTATTAAACAGCTCAGCTAGCATGTACACATTCTTTCCATCAGCAGTTTTTGTTTGTTTCTCAGAACTAGATATTCATTGTATATAGCACAATCACAGTAATGAATACAAAAGTAGGCATTATGAAAAACAATAATTTTGCAAAAATAAAAGTTTTATTGCCCTAATTGATAATGAAGATCTATGGTGCCTATGACTGAGTTTTGCCTGCATAGCTTTGAATCCATATTTTCTCATATTTTTGTCCATTCCTGATTACAAAGAAATTAAAGAATCTAAGTGTTATCAGATTGAGCTGTACAGTGTTTTCTACACCAGCCACTTAATGAATATAAAAGGAGAGGTAACCCGTCTACCTCAGCAGCATCTTTATCACATAACCTTCCCAAAGGTGATTCTTAACGTGCATGCTAAGTCGCTTCAGTCGTGTCTGACTCTTTGTAACACTATGGACTGTAGCCCACCAGGCTCCTCTGTCCGTGGGGATTCTCCAGGCAAGAATCCTGGAGTGGGTTGCTGTGCCCTCCTCCAGAGTATCTTCCTGATGCTGGGATTGAACCCACGTCTCTTACGTCTACCTGCAGTGGCAGGTGGGTTCTTTGCCACTAGTGCCACCTGGGAAGCCCCTGATTCTTAAAAAAGA